TTCACGTTGATTCAGCTAACGCCACGGAAATGCTGCCCTCAGCTGGTTACAGGGGTCCATGGATGGGTCGCTCAGCCTAGTGTTAGTACGCCACGAAAAGAAATGAGGTAATCTAATACTACCCTCCTTGGCTCAACCCTCTCCCTGTGCCCTGTGAAGCGTATCTTGATACCGAGGATCAGATGAGTGCCTCCACGACAACATGCAGATGGCTACCTTTTCGCTCAATCCGGATAACGCATCCTACATGTATGTCTCATTTCAGCTTGCTTTTGCATCATAGCGGTTGCCCGCATGGTTGTGCTTTTGATCTCTTGTCTATGGGTCGTGTATTTAAACCGGCTGGCTGCGCACTATCTGAAGAACAGAAACGTCAGACCTCAGGAAATCAACAAGATCGTTGTGAAGTCGCCTCGAATTTCTTCTTTTAGGTGGGCTACTGATTGTCATTAATGCTGTAGATTTCTTGTGCCTTCTAACACCCCATCATAATAGTGACCCTTTCTCTTGACTCTTGCCCTCTCCACCGTCTAACTCTAAACGAACTATGCCAGACCTATACATTCCCCCGCCTGGTCTGGCCTTCCGTATCCAAGGCTATTGGAGTAACAAGGTTCTCTTTTCGAAAGAAGGAAGGTTCGGCCAGGTTGACAGCAAGGACATTTACGATGATCAATGGTGGACGCTCGTTACGGACGAGTCACACCCAGGCCTCTTCCAGATTAAGAGCAAATACACCGAGAAGGTGTTATACGCCAAGAAAGACGACGTTGGGCACTTTACGCAGCACCTGGACTGGCCTGACCAGTGGTTCAAGATCGATCCTGGTGAGGGAGAATATCGGTCCTATTTTCGACTTTGGGACAATGCCACCGATAGGGTAGTGGTGTCCCGCCGAGGAGAGGATTATCCCGGCGACTTCGGGGCCAATGACAGGAAGTTTTCGGATCAGTACTTCTTTTTTTCGTTTGAGGACATGGAAATCATCAAAGTCGAGTACGATGTCAGCAAGGGCAAAACTACGGTCAATACACCAGAGGTAGTCATCGACAAAGAGCCAGTGGTCAACGACAGCTCGTCGGAAGTAACAAAGCATCTCACCTTAGGCGACACCTACGAAACAACATCTTCCTTTGACTACACTTCTGGCTTCACCCTCACAATCGGCACGACCGCAACAGTGGGAGTTCCTGGGGTCGCGGAAGGGAAGGTCCAGTACACAGGATCGACCACGCAGGAAATGAAATGGGGGAAACAATCCAAGCATACACTTGAAATTAAAGAGGAGTATGAGATGAAGGTACCCCCTCATTCTACGAGGAAAATGTCTCTTACAGGCACTCTCTCAACTTTGGAGGTACCGTGCACCGTGCACTCGCGATCGAAGAAGACGGGTGTTGAAGTCGTGACTCATGCGATATTCCATGGCGTCAGTTACTGGAATCTTCATACCCACATTACTGATTGAAGGCCATTGGGCTGGAACAGTAATTGCACGAGGACAGCCAAGACTACTTACATGTATCTAACATCATTGTGCATTTCATTTGTTGACTAGTTGAACTGTTTTGCATCTGAAAATATCTTAAAGAGGCCCGCAGAATGAGATAGTAACCGGCCCTAATATTTATTTCCATGAATTACGAACCATTCTTGCGATAGGTAGGTTAGAATTGCTTATGCTCCCCCAAAAAGACTCTTGAAAGACACGTATAGACGGGCTCGAACAAATTCAAATTTCGAAATTGACACCGGGTTAAAGATTACTATGTATTTAAAGCGACTTACCTAGGGCGGTAATATCTGACGTGACAAACGACTTCGATCTAGATGCCGCCGTAACACCCACCTTGTTCTTTGTAGATTGCTCGATGGATAACTACATAAGGCATTGTTTCCTTCCCGTTCTCGACCTAGCCCCGAATTTCTTCTACGAGAAATCGAGCAATACCTTTTTCTTTTGTTTCCTTTGTCGAGGGGAAAATCCGTGCCTAGTCCTTGCGAATCTGGTCAAGCCCATGCGCACTCTAATGGAGGTAGAATTGTAGGTTCGAGAGCACCTTAAAAAAGATAGAGGTTTCACTGTATTAGGCTTATCGCTTTGGTGGTAGGCTTCAACAGCCTTTTGGGTTTGAATCTCGATATTTTCAATTTCTTCTGACATCGTGGGGTGGTGTAAAATGAATACAAAGTTAATGTCTAGTGAAATGTTTTGCATCGAATGAGGCCCACCAATACTGGGTACGGGACGGCCCCCAGATCATGCGCCATGGTGGATCATAACGGCGGATGCTAAACTATAGACTCGGAGATATCAAGCTAAAGGATACATTAGCTATTTGTAATTCGGCGTAGTGTGAATATGCGCGGCGAGGAATGCTGCTGGGGTGGAGTTCGAGAATGAGTAGAAATGGTGTAGACTCTGATCGCGATTATCATTTGGTCTTTCTCGTTTTGACGAAGTGGGAGTGACTAGTGAATACAAATCTCGATTGAAAATTGTCTCCCATTCACAATCTTGTAAACTTCGAATGCAGTCTCACCATTCCCATCCTTTAGTCTCGAGCCACCATTCATCCTTTGCAGGTGGCTTGACGAGTCCGAACAAGGCAAATTTAGCAACAGACCAATCTTCAGTAGGCTCAACGAAGGCCGCTTGTGAAACCCCCGAGAGGTGCCTAAAAGACTTGAGTATAATCTATTTAATCAGGGGTTCTGAGCATCACATTTCTCCGGTCGATGTATCAAGAATGAGCTTCGACATTGAAGCTATGCATAGCTCGACGCCGCAGCGTAAAAGCTTTCTGATTGGGGCGTTCAGGTTAGTTTCAGACACGACAAATAGAAAAAGAGGTTTGGATGGACATACAAGTAGGCTTCGCGGAACTTCCTTTGAATAGATCGCGCATATAGTTGTTCATTTTCCAGAACTCCTCATAGCCGAGGGGCTCTCCAGGGGCTTTTTCCCAGACGACATATGTGATATAGCCCCCTGGAAGAAAGCCACGGGGCCCTTGCGTTTCCTCTTGAAAACCGAGCAGGTCGGGGACAACATCACAACCCATCTTCTTGAGTCTCTTCAAAGCCACTAGTCCAGTGATTGATATTTCGTCGGGACGGCCTGTTTTGCTCGAGTCCTGGGCTTAGAAAACTCTGTGCCATACATGGGGAGTTGGGCATAGATGCATATAAACGCGGGCTTCTTGCTCGGGTCATCGGCACGATAGCAAAAGAATTTACCCGTGGTGTATGCGGGGCCGCGACCAAAGTTGATGTCTTCCTGGGTAATGGCTATGGCTGTTTCGTCAAGCTTCCTGGCGATGGCCCAGGTTCGGCGGGGTAATCTTCGGCTTCATTCTTCGAGTCGGTAGTGACCGTGGTGTCTTCACGGTCAACAAGGAAATGAGGGTAGTCGAACTGCATCTTGAATCGATGAAATAGTGGTAGATAAGAAATAAATTTTGATAGATGGCAAAGGTAGAAAGGCTGGCGGGTGTTGCAAGAGAAAGAAAAAGGAAGTGAGTTGATGAAGGAAGCGTGACGAGTGCTTCCTGGCAGCTAGCAGTGAAGCCCTGGAGTAACTAGACCCGTGGACCCGTGGACCGTCAAATAGTTGACTAACACTAGGTAGGCGTCAATAACTACATACCCATCTCTTGACTTTTCCTCTGAACTTGTACCAATGAAGCACAGGGACTATGCTTTATCAGTTGCCTAAATCTCGGTGCCTTTATGGACTACTATCTCTGGATCACTTATTGGCTACGAGGTTGCTCCTTTGGGTATGGACTACCTAGGTACTTTGTAGTGAGGATGTAATCCCGAAGGGAACTCAGGCCGCTGTACCTTTGTGATTACATAAGAGCATTTAGCCTAGATAGGCCAAAGATCATAAGGACAAATAGGACGCCTGTTTGTCATTGCAGCGGTATATATATTAGGCCCTAACATCCGTTAGGGACCACAAGGACTGAGGGTCACCATCAGGTGACTCTGTCACATGACCCCCGCCTGTAGAGGATGAGATTCCGTAAGGATCGCATGCCTTCTATTGGCAATAGATAGTACTAGATATAGGATAGTTACCTATGTAGTTAGGTATGGATCCATCGCTTGCTAGTTACGAAACATGTAGGATTAATAAACCCTCCGGTATGCCGGCTTCAGTACTCTGTACGGAGTACTCCGACACCAATAATAGCCTCAGGCACCAAACAGCATGCAAACAAACCCTGCAGGCCTACAAACCGCTTGGGAGCCCTGATCAGTCACGTGTTGACTCTGACCGCCCTCGTAAAAGCGGCGGCAGCTAAGAAAGGAAAGACCCGGCAGAGGAAATATGGTATGTAGAAGTCACCTACGATAAGTCCCTCCCTTTGATCACGTACTATGTAGTCATGGTATGGATATCGAACAGCTTCCAAACTCACGTGCTCCTATTGTCCGATCTTCCAGTCTAGAAATCGACAACACCAACCCTTGCTCAATCAGAGAGAGAGTCAGGGGCCGCAGTGGGGTTGGTGGCGCCCTCAGACTGAGTAGAGAGATCTTCGCGCTTGTCTCTGAAGTCTAGACTTGACCATTGATACTCTAATAATAACATTACAGGTTGGACCCTGCAGTCTTCCCTGATTACGTGGCCAGGGGGTGGCATTCTCAAATTGCGCCAATCATCGTTCGATGCTCTGCAACATCATGCCCAGTACTAACTTCCAAAAGCCACCGAGGACGATCAATGGAGCTCCAAATAACTCAGCCGTGTCTGATTTTCCTTGGAGACATCTCACAATCTATGACGTGCCACATTTTGTAAAAATGTGTCCATTTCCTCCTTTGCTGCTCCAATTGTGGTCTTATTTTCTCTGAGACGCGAATGTCAGCCTTTGTTACTGGTCCCTACACTTGACAATCGACTTGTACACCACTCCTTCTTGGGCTTCCTATGACTGATCCTTCATTTCTTTGGTTATTTTGGAACACCCGTACTCCATTCATTTATTATGTATAACAAGCGCAAAAACCGACCTTTATCAACAGCATTGTTTCTCATTGTAGCGACATACGTTTTCTTTTTCTGGCTCCCTAGTACAAAAACATATCGAGGTCGCCTAGCAAAGCCAATCTCCAGAAAGGACAACACCGTTCGACAAGATGCCATTCGTCTAGATAAGGTCACCGAGCGATTCCCCGTTACAGAGTACATCCCATTGCCGACAAGTTCAGCGAAAATTCCCCGCATCCAGCATAACTTCCCCGAAGAAACTCGCGGCGAGCGCAAGGCCAGACTCAAGAAGCGGGATGCTGTGAAGGAAGCATTCCTTCATTCATGGAATGGATATAAAGATTATGCGTGGATGCGAGACGAGGTGAAACCCCGCACCGGAGGATACCAGGATACCTTCAATGGCTGGGGTGCCACTCTTGTCGATTCGCTAGATGCGCTTGTGATTATGGGGCTGGATGATGAGCTGCAGCTGGCTCTGGAGGCTCTGGAGGAAATTGACTTTACAACAACTAAGAGCAGACATGTGCCTGTCTTTGAAATCATCATTCGCTATATGGGTGGTTTTATAGCTGCTCATGACCTGACCGAGGGCAAACATCCTATCCTGCTGAGAAAGGCTGTCGAACTGGGTGAGATGATCTTCAATGCGTTTGATACACATAATCGCATGCCTCAAGTGCGCTGGGAGTGGACTAGGTATGCCAAGCTAAAAAAAAATCGTGCAACAAGAATTCGAAACTGACAATGTCCAGATCCGCCCAAGGGAAAGAAATCACACCATCGTCACGCACGAGCTTAGCGGAAATGGGATCCTTGACAATGGAGTTCACTCGCTTGACCCAATTGACCGGTGACCCCAAGTACTACGATGCCGTGCAGCGAATTATGAATGAGCTCGAGATCGGACAAGACAAGACCCGGATGCCGGGCATGTGGCCGACATGGATTGACACCGACCGAATGACGTTCGACGACTCCGAATTCACCATCGGCGGATGTGCCGATTCCGCGTACGAGTACTTGCCCAAAGAACATATTCTCCTAGGTGCACAGACCGACAAATATCACCGCATGTACGAAAAGGCTATTGACACATTTAACGAGAATCTGCTGTTCAGAGGAATGACCCAGGACGAGGACCAGCACGTTCTCTTCACGGCTAACGTCGTTGCAATGCGGGGCGACTCGAAGACCTTCCAGTATGCGCCTGACCACCTCAAGTGTTTCATGGGTGGGACCGTGGCTATTGGGGCCAAGGTCTTCAATCGGCCGCAGGATATGTATGTTGCCCGGGGGCTTACCGACGGCTGTGTATGGGCATACGACGTCATGCCTACAGGGATTATGCCGGAGGTGTTCAAGGTCAGTCCTTGCAAGCACATCGATGAGTGTCCGTGGGATGAAGAGCAGTGGATGTCAGATGTCATATCACACTCTATCGCTACCGAGGAGGACCGCGAGAAAGCGGAGGACCATATTGAGGCTGAGCACCTGCCGCCCGGTGTGACTAGTGTTCGAGATGCATCGTATAAGCTCAGGTATGGTTTCATCTCATTCCTTCTGCGGCAGCTCACTAACATAATACCCGTCTAGACCTGAAGCTCTTGAGTCGCTGTTCGTCATGTACCGGATTACTGGAGATAAGTGTTTTCAGGACTCCGCATGGCGCATGTTTAAGAACATTGATAAGGCAACCCGGACTAAGTTTGGCCATTCGTCTATCAACGATGTGCGTCATTTGAAACCAAAACATCAGGACAAAATGGAGAGCTTTTGGCTTGCCGAGACTTTGAAGTACCTCTATCTTATCTTTTCCGAGCCAGATCATATCAGTCTGGACGACTACGTGCTGTATGTTTGCTCCCGGCTGCGTTTATCCTGTCTTAATGAGCTAATAATCCCCTTTCCAGGAGCACCGAAGCCCATCCTTTCAAGCGGCCAAGCAACTGAAACGTTATAATATTGAGATACAGCTTTCATCACCAGCATCATCTTGATTTGATTCGACAAGACCGGCGTTACAAGCATTAGGGCTTTCACTATAATACACAGCATCTATTTCCTCTGCAGCTATCAGAGCAAACGACATATCCCTGGGGCCAATCCCCGTCCATCTATGCATAATATCCCACATCCACACATCCTACAAGAAGCCATAATATAAAACAAAATTATACATAAGCAGAAACATCAACAGAATTAATCTTCAAATCCTCGCGCCTCCTCACCTCCGCCTCGTCTTCATATTGAATAGAGTACCGAATCTCCTTATGAATAACCATCTTATCAGCCCCCTCTCCACAATCCCCTCGCTCAGATGCACCACTCGCATGCCGAATATGCGGCCACGGTACAAGCTCAATCAAGTCCGATTCTGTCGCAAATGAACCCACAGACCCAGCCCTCGCACCATTATTTCGCTTTGCCGGTATCTGAAAGCTTAAGTCCTTGCCTGGCGCGCTGAGCGGGAACATCGACCGACGTATTGGCTCACGCACCGTATCCGATCTGCCATTCTTCCCATCCTTTCGATTGTTCCCAAGCGCTCCGTGCACACGCGGCCTGCTATCAACACACAAGGAAGGATTCAGCCGGGGGCGTTGATTCCCCGACCGCCGCAACCCAGAACCACTAACGGCTGGAGTAACCAGCGGCGGTCTTGCACCTGTCCCGGCTCTTTTCCTCTGTATGCGAGACCGCGACATCGATCTCGTAGCGGTATTCGAATTCGAGCCGGACCCGGACCCAGACTTCGAGCTTTCTTTCGTCCCGTTTGATCTCGAGCTACTCTCCAGTGTCGAGTCGCCCGCCGTACCGTAGTTCGTGCTGACGGCTGCCATGAAGGGTCGGAGACAGAATACACTGCATGCGACTAGGGCATAGTGGAGCTCGACTTGCATCCAGATTGTTGGTTTGACGGCAGCGAGGGTTGTGTCTTTGCTGTTTAGGGATGTGTGGAGGGATGAGATGTGGATTAGGGAGAAGATTATGAGGCTGGGATTGTACGGTTAGTCTTCGGTTTAGATTGGAGATGGGGATTGGGATGGGGATGCGTGATTTACTCACGGAAAGCGGAATATAAATGCGAAGCCGACGGCTAATTTGCGGCTGACGGACATGAAGAGGCCTTTTAGGAGGATGACGGCTAGGAGGAAAAGAAGGAGCTCGGTTATAACATCGACTGCGGCGATAAATTGCCATCGTATGTACTATTCTTGCGAGATTAGAGACGGCTTCGGGGAGTTGATGCATATTATATCATTGGTGGTTGTACATACCAAGTCGCTGCATTCGCCGCCGTCACTCCGCCAAGGTGTGTTCAGCTCACAGTTAACTAGGACAATGAATATAGCCGGGATGACCCAGGCAGTACACAGAGCTAGTGTCGCCCAGGATGCACGGTTATGTGGTTTTTGTGGCGTGAGGCGGAGGTAGATAGCCACGACGCAGCATTTGGAGAGGTAGATGATGATCAGCGCGATTATATCGCTTGTTGCAATTAACTTAGGTCGCTGCTCAGTTTGGTCCATTGGAACAAAGTAAGGGGATATCGAACGACAACTTACAGCTTGAATCTGATCGAGTCGACCATCCTTCAATAGCGATATAGAAGTCCCGAATCCGCGTGAGCAGGCATAGAAGATGAGACTTGATTGCACTACAGCAACAGCCTGTACAGAAATTGGGACAACATGTCAGCAGTCTGCACGAATAACCCTTCCAAGCCAAGCCTGAGTTCGACTCTTCAAGCCCCAACTCACCGTAGCGCCCAATAAAACCCAATCGTCGCGCGCAAACGGCGGGATCAGCATGAGCCGCACATATAACCGAATCAAAAAACACACGAGGGAGACAACTAGCCCCAGTGCAGCAGTGATTATCACCCACGCGCCATGGTGCAAGTCATCGACGACCTCAAAGGGCGGCGACTGGCCTGGTGGCACATACGGGCCCATGACAGAGGGAGGGAACAGAAGCCACCGCTAACAACGAAGTCCAGACAAGTACACTTTTCGTTGTTACGATGTATATCATGTGGAAGGATGGGTATATTGCGGTGTTATGTGGAATGTATATGAGTTGCGCTGATCAACACAGACACAGAAGCGACTGTGAGGGGCTGTCAGATCTGGAAGCCATGTGGACTGGATGGCGTGGTGAGAATAAGTTAAAGAAGGGGGTTTATTCGAGACGCTTGTATACGTTGTATAGGAAAGTACTCCGTAGAAGCAGGAGGTATGCGGGCGTCAAGGCGAGGCGATAACGGCTGAGCTAGGTTTCGTTTCTCCTACGATGCGCTTGCGATTGTGATTATTTCTGCCTCGGGAGGTCATATGCCAATACCCGATAGAAACATGGACTATCGAGTCCAGACATGTACGTAAGTACGGAGTAGGGCTGGTGGGATTCGCTCGATATGGGCGGGTGCTGGAAGGGGGTTTCGAATATGCATGGCCGGTCTATCCCTTTCTTGTTGAAAGGTATAAGCGGCAATTATTATTTTCGGTGTAAGTTCAGGTCATCTGGTTGGAATGGTGATTTGACCTCTCTCCCTCACGTCGAATTTCGACGTAGAACGGAGTACTCCATACTGCGAGCATGCGGCTTTAGGGCACGGCGGCCCGCTGTAGTGTCATCGATCAGCATGCGCCCTCCAGAATTAGGCTGTGGGTCTTTGGGAGGTTCTCATCCGATAGGCTGCGTGGTTTCCTCTTGGGCGAATAAAGCGAGGGGTTTATGCATTCACCCGTTATTTGGATCGAGGCAAGCATGGAGTGTGGCGGAATTGTCTGGGGGATAAGCGACGAGTGTAAACGAGGGGATGTGCGACAGGGATTGATAGAGAGTTAGCGCAATTGATGCATCAGAAATGCATCGGGTAGTGGTGCCGAGTCTATTCAAGGGGTTAGGTTTGTCTATATTTCGTACTTTGTGTTGTCTATCATTTTGGTGAGTGTGCTCTTAGAAGAGAGAAACAAGTCATGGTTTATTTACAACTGCGACAGACTAGAAGGATTTAGAGTAGCATTACAACCCCAACAGTCAGTTCAAATTTCAATATTCCCCAAGTTTAAAGACGTTAAATGGACAACTCCCCCCTGTGGCATGCAAGGTGCCAATACGCCCCATTCCGGGTAAGAGACAAGGGATAGCAAACTCCAAAAATGAGTTTCGACAGTCACATTCCCAATTGGATTCGACGCAGGGCCCTTGAGCAAAGAACGATGTATCATTCGGATCGCTGCTTGGGTGTTCCGAGGAGGACTTCTCTCCCACATGGCGCTTGAGAATCATTCACAGGCCATGCCTTGCGCCCACGTCAATACCACGCTTCAATCCCGGCAATTCAGTGGCCGTCATGATTCCAGTTTTCTGGGTCTTCTCCTGCTAACTGCCTCTTCTGGCTACAGCCATTTTTGTTCAGCTTTATTAGAGGGTACTTTGCTCGTTGGGCGCTTTTATACTTCGCATCCTAGATCCTTCGGGGGGTCAAGTTGCCAGGGGATATAGGCTTTCCTTTTTATTCTCACAATTCCCTATTTGTTCGCGGAGAATTTTGTTGTCTCATCTTGAATAGATTCTCCCATCTAGTCATTCAGTCAAGCGCGCGATCATGACGGTTTTCAGCAGGTCCAGACCTGACTCGCAGCAGACGATGACTGGCCATGACGACGAGGAGTATGCTCAAAAAGGCCTTGTTGAGCCGCGGTATATGGGCACGCTGGCAGATCGGCGGGATATGAATGCTCTTGGCCGAGTACAGGTTTTGCGAGTAAGTTGCTCGGCTCTTATTGTTCCGGTTGTGTTGGCCTGCTAACATCACGAAGAGAAACTTTCGGTTTATCTCTATTGTTGGATTTGGATGCACTTTGATCTGCACATGGGAAGTTATCTTGACGTACGTGCTAGTCCCTGCATATGGTGATCATGCAGACCACTGATTCCATTAATAGAATGTTGGCGGCTGGCTTGACCGACGGCGGTACAGCGGGCTTGATATGGGGGTTCATCGGCGTCTCGTTCGGGTTTACCCTTGTATATGCCAGCATTGCTGAGATGGCCTCGATGTATGTGACTGACAACTTGCTTTCCCTGGTTAGATCGCCGCTAATCAATTGATAAATAGGGCACCCACTGCTGGTGGACAGTATCATTGGGTGTCGGAGTTCGCACCAGAGAGAGGACAAAAGTACCTCAGCTATATCACAGGTAACACAGAAAACCTCTGCGCAAGTCTAATCAACTAACATATCATCCTAGGATGGCTTTCTGCAATGGGGTGGCAATGCGCCATTGTGTCCATCGCCTACCTCGCTGGCACAATCATTCAAGGCCTGGTCGTCTTGAACCAGCCAGATTATGACTTCCAGCGATGGCATGGCACCATGCTAGTAATTGCCATTTCGACATTCTCAATCCTATTTAACACCTTCCTAGCCAAGAATCTTCCCTTCGTGGAAGGATTGATCTTGATCATCCATGTTATTGGACTGTTTGCCATCATCATCCCGTTGTGGGTACTCGCACCACGCAATAATGCCCACGCAGTCTTCACCACGTTCAACAACGGCGGCGGCTGGAATAACCCTGGGACGGCAACGTTAGTCGGCTTATCTACCACCATAACCTCCATGCTTGGTTATGATTGCTCGGTTCATATGTGTAAGGAAGAGCTCTATGAACGATGTCAGAGCTGGTATATCGTGCTAACCTTCAAAAGCCGAAGAAATCAAAGACGCATCAGAGACACTCCCAAAGGCAATGATGACCTCTGTCGCCGTCAACGGTGTGTTAGGATTCATCATGTTAGTCACACTGTGCTTCACGCTAGGCGAGGTTGACAAAATACTCGATACCCCAACGGGATTCCCATTTATCCAGATATTCTACAACACCACGGGTAGCCTCGCCGCAACAAACGCTATGACGGCCGTGCTGGTGGTGACGCTTACTGCCAGCACAATAACCGAAGTTGCGACTGCATCACGTCAGCTCTGGTCGTTTGCCCGGGACGAGGGACTGCCCTTTTCGCCCTTTTTCGCATATGTAAGTTACGTCTTGTCCCTGACTTAACCCCTCTGTGTGGCATCAAAAACAAGAGGTGCAGATTCAGCCATATTAACACGTAACCACTAGGTCACGCCAGGCTGGAACATCCCCCTGAACTCCGTGATGGTGTCTCTAGTCGTCACAGTGCTACTATCGATGATCAATATCGGGTCGCAGGTCGCTCTGAACGCCGTTATCTCGCTCACCATCACATCCCTGTTGTCCGCGTACATCATCTCGATCGGGTGCGTATTTCTAAAACGCATCCGGGGCGAGCCCCTGCCACAACACCGGTGGTCACTTGGGAAATTTGGCATGGCGGTGAATGTTGGGGCGTTGGCATTCCTCTGTCCGATTTTTGTCTTCTCGTTCTTTCCCTTGTCGACGGATGTTACGGTTGAAACGATGAACTGGAGCGTGGCGATGTATGTTGGCATCGTTGGATCTGCGACAGTTTACTATTTGCTTTGGGGGAGACATCATTTTATTCCGCCTGTGGCTTTGGTTCAGCGGGATGAAAATAGTTAAAATTGTGTCTGGTTCGGAAGATTTGTCTTTTCCCCCCTTTTTCTGTTATTATTCTTCTGTCTATGTTTGACTGCTGGGTTGTGTATTTTGATGACGTGATGACGTGACGTACTCCGTGTATAGGTATAATCTTGAGATTCTGCTGTTATTATTACCTTGAGTATCATTATTTCGCCCTGTTCAAACAGACCAGTCCACCCCGTACATTGTATAATAATGACGTGGCACCGCCCCTATTTGTGGTGATAGTTACTCGATTTAGATGTATCGGAGACTTCGAAGCGCAAGGGCTCGACCATTCAGCCGGCCTTCGGCATTGAAATTAAGTTATCAGATGGAACCGTTTCTTCCCGCTATAACACAAGCTCTTCATGACCTCTGCTACTTTGAATACAAAACCACGCGTCTTGCTCGGTCTAAAAGGAAGATAGTAGATAAATGCAACCCCTGAAATGCAGCGCCATTGGTACATGGAATAGAGACCTAGTGACACGCTAAAAGCCCGGAGATGAGCTATAGTTATGCGGAGGAGTCAGCTCGTGATACCTGATACCGGCAGGGAGGTGGTTTCAGGCTATGCGTTTTTATTGAATCATTAGTTAAGCAGCCCACCAATGAATCTTTCAGGCTGAAAGCTCCAGGGGCGATCTGCTTTGTTTACTGTTCTTCTAGAACATCCCTGGCTCCTTTCGATCTGGCCCCACTGATTGATCTCGGCCTGACATCCCCACTTTGGACCGAATGGTTGGGAAATTGATTTACGGAGGGTTAGGGACGTGTAAGCTAGGAGAACTGCGATGGGTCAACGCGGTACACAAGGCTTGGTCCGGCTAGTCGGAAAGTGGGGAGTGGAGAGATATCCAATTTGTATTTTATACGAATGGGGGAGTCTTGGATTCAGGGGATTTTATTTTTATTGCAATATCAGTAGCCCCCTAACTGGGATCCTAGATGGAACACATGCATGTGGAGAGTGTAAATACCGAGTTGGTTATCAGATGGGATTGATTACTCGAACAGGACAAATCCGCTATCTGATTGATCTGATAACCGAGGTAATGTGTATGGTATTGTCATGTTACGTATATTATACATCTTCCTCAACATTTTCTGTCGGCCCACCTCGGAACTTACATTATCTTTCCAATGGCAATTTAAAATATCCCTGTAAAACCCCTGTCCAACGTAAGTTCTACGGAGTATATATTAGATAGTTTAAATCTTGCAATCATACGAAATCTTACTATGGTCATTCCAGGTCAGTTAACAGACCGGGACTCTCCTCGGCTGTTCCCAGCGCCACTCAATACCCGTAAAGTACAAGGTCATCTTCATATGCACCGTCGATCAGGATGGATACGATAACCCCAATTGGAGT